ATATTGTACGACAGAATACACGCGTAAACTAAACAACTAAGACAGCGTGATAATACAATTACATTCAACTTGAATTTGACACAATAGGAAGCAATTGGCAAACGATAGGGAGATAATTACAATAACATTCTACTACAAATAGGACAATATTCTGTCGCAATTATTATAACATTCTGGTACAAATACTATGGTGCAAAAAAATATAAAGAAAATATGAAAATATTTAGAGAAACATGCAGATATTACAATACTTAAAAATCTCACGTAATATATAACATTACTTATTTCTAACATAACCATAACATTCTACTCAGAATCAAATCAGAATTATCATAAGTATAACATTTTGCCGCAGAGATAATGATATATTACTGCAATTATGGTCATAGTCAAAGGTTGGTGCGCACGCACGTAATGACAACTTAAGAAAATAACGGTAAGTTCAGCAGTCGTGGTTCTTATTTACTGTCTAAACGAATAGGCATGTTTGGTTAATGTCAGATATTCAGATAGGCAATTAAGGTGCGAGCAGATATGAATAACGACATATGGATGACGCGTTAGTACAGCAATAACAGAATACACGCGTGAACAACTATAGCATAACGCGTATATATACCATCATAGTATTATTGTTTTGTTTATATTGTTATTGCGCACATAACACAATAAGATATAATGTCGCAACACAGTAAACGGCTTTTCCTAATATAAAGCCGCTCATGTGATTTAAATTCAAATTAAAAAAAATGTTTATTCGCGCATAATTAGTATTATAACGGATGTACAACGGCGCATATGTAAGTAATAACACGTTATAGCGCATAATTATCAGATGAAGTTCAGGAGTGGCGAAACATCCACAGGTCATCGATGTCTGCCACTCCTGAGTTGTGTTACAGTTCAATGACACGTCCTTATATTAATGATATTACACGTCATTATATTAATGATATCAAGCTCTCTCATTACTGGTTAAAGTACGTGAGTAAGCAGAGGATGGTTGATGATGCCGGTTTTTTCCACGAGGGGGCAGCATCGTCCAGTCATGTAAATCGATTGTATCAGGGGTTAATAATGACAAATTGTATATACATATTATTAGATATTCATGTTTTAGATTCGTATATATTTATTTAGATAAACACACACATTTAGTAGGCTTTTCCTGATCCCCAGAGCTCGCAATAGTAACTCAATGACACAAGGAATGATAGTACACGTCCAATACACTCACAATACGTCTATGAAACAACAAGATGTGTTATTTTATTCCAGAAGCGATATGCGCAAACCCACCACACGGACAGACAGATAAAGCTAGTGCGCGTATATGTTACCACACCCAACAGCTCATAGATATCTACATACGCATCATATTCTACACGGTAAGCAAGTAGCAATAAGTAATTATTCAAGTGCAGAACCTGTGCGGTAAATTTCTCCGCCATATAACTGCATATAGATGAACATAAATGCATAAAAAACTTTGCATAAAAAACTTTACTGTGCGACCCTATTGTCGAGCAAACGTATACACAGATAGGGTTAGATCGGCTAGAGCACATTAATGTCGAACAAGATGCAAGGAAAATGTGTCGATCATTTAATCGCATAGCATGTGTTCTCTGAATTGAGTATAATATTTCATCAAAATACTGTTATTTGTTATATAAAGGCTGGATATATGCAACTATGTAGGTGATATAAGCCACCTACCGCCATCTAGTGACGGATTTAAATTTAATGAGTGTTACATCATTCAGGGGCCTTATAATTATTAAAGAGAGGCAGCTGGATTGATTTCTCACGTCCAGCTACCGCGAAGAATATTTACTCTCTATTCTAAACCTATAATTTTAACAAAATGTCCTGTTATTTCGCGAGAGACTGAGCATATGCGAACAGAGGTATCCCTCTATGTTACCGAGTGCAGTGTCTTACCCTGAGGCAAAGAGCTTTTCTAATACGATCTTCATCCTAACACTAGTATGCCGAGTAATTTAATTGACGCTACTATAAGCACCGAATTATTACTAAATTGTCTAGCGGACAGGTGCT